TTTACTAACCTACCCGCCATTGTAACGATTGAGTTTATCTGTGACATAGCAAGTGAATGTCCAGTAGACATATGTCGCATGAGAAAATTATGGAACATGTGTCCTTAAGAGTTACAATTCATATTCAATAATGGGTGATATTTGCAAACAGATGGAGTAGTGATGAGAATGCGACTTAATGTTCTGTCTGCAGATGCATTTTCGACTAGGATGGAACATACATCCTTGAATGACTGTATAGGTGAAGCTGAAATGCACCTACAGTGTACATTAAAGACATATTCGTGGTACATGAAAATGAGGTTAAAAGTGACATAATGATAAGAGAATATAAACCATCCCATGTGAGCATAAAATTCACACCAGTACATGGACGTAATTACACGATGTATTACTTGGTGCGGTTAATTTGTTTGTCGAGCTGACAGCATAGTCGATAGATCTACAAACAGAAAGTCAACGTGGAAGCTAGCTCTCTCACACTTTAAAAAACTTCACTTCATCGTAATGGAAAGTAGCAAACTGGAGTATGAATGAAAACATTTCAGGGATATGTACGCGAAAAGTGGTTATTTCCATGCCTCTATCATGTGATTTATAGACACAACAAGGTGACAGTGGGAAAGACATAGAAGGAGAATTTATCGATGCTTGACACATTAAAGTGTGTGTACCAGTTTGCAAGCCTTTGTGAATGTTATTACAGTGGACGTAATGAAAAACGTCTATCGATCTGTGTTGCTGAACACTATCCACAAGGACCATCTACTAAAACATTTGGAACTTACCGAGTGGATCTCGTGAAGATATCTTCCGTAAGATTTAACTTTTCTTTCGTTCAGATATATTTTACAATATAATCCTGCAGAAATATCAGTGACAAGTGCACTCAACAAAAGTAAAAGCAAAACATATCTACGAGGTCACTACTACTAATAATAGTATAATTAATTAAGTAATTAGTTAGTTATTATTATTATTATTATTATTATCACTCTAATTATTATTTAGTTCCTTTGCCAACAGTGTCTTATAGAAACCGGCTTATCTTCACAATGAAAAAAGTGAAAAATAATCAGACCATCACACCATCATCGTATGTTTGGTGACAAATGAAGCTTAGTCTGCATTATACTTGCGTCCTTGAAGGAATTATCTCTTTGTTATCATGAAGGTTACAGGTGGAATTCTTTTCTTCTTCTTCATTTTGTTGTTGGAATACTCACGCGTTGTTTACTCTCTCTCTCTCTCTTTCTCTGAAGAATGATCTAGTGTGCTTTAAAGTACTTCGCAATCAGAGAGAGAGAGAGAGACTCTGTGTGTGTGTGTGTGTGTGAGTGAGTGAGTGTGATATTGTGAAAAGAGAAAACAACTATCTGAAATCAACCCACAATTGTCGACAATGATATTTCATTTGCATCTTATTTGTTTGATTGTGATAAGTTGAGGCGTATCTATGAAGCATATTTTGAGTGTATTGAGGAGCCCCTAGCGGGTTTTATATGCATCATCTTTTATGTGATCACGGTTGTTAGAATGAGACGCATTTTCTTCAAATTCGTGGCCTTACATTTATAATGTTTTCGATGAATTTCGTGGTAGTGTTATTTTCAATGCAGACGCGCCTGAACCCTTCCAGATCAGCATCGATGGATATTACCTGTGGATATGCATCTTCTTTTCAAGATAATCACTGCGTGCATTTATTCTCCTTGATGAATTTGAATAAAGCAAGAACAACAGTAGTGGTTTGTGCAGAATAATATGGTACCATCATTGTTTATTTCGTTGGCTTCTCATCAGCTGCTGCTTACAGCCTAAATAAACTATGAGGTTTAAGTGAAGAAACGGTTTAACATACTTGCAAATTTCACATGTTGTCGTCAGTTGACAGAAACTGCCACAATTAGTAAACAGTGCTCAGAAAATTGCGCTTATATAGTTTTTACAAAGGCGGTTCAAGTTTAAACAAAATAAATGTATGCATATAATGGTAAAGGAGTTACATAATAAAGATGAGATGTGCGTTAGATGCATAGTGACTAATAAGTTAGGTAACAATGTACCGATTTGAACTGAAATCATAAAAACAAGAAACAAGCAAATTACAGAGCGTGAGGTTAAATACAAAGATTATGTAATCAGAAGAGAGAAAAAAAGACATCCAGTTACCAAGGCAAGGAAAGACTAATAACTGCTTCTTTCTGAACACAAAAATCTGGTTTCAAGCGTTTGATAGAAAAATTGCTTCGGCAAACTTAAGGAGAATGAAGCTCCTTTGTCTATCGATAATTTTGAAGGATTTCTTGATTTCCACTTCATGACCCGTGTGGAGGAGATGTCTGATAATAGCGCTACTAAAAGAGGTTGTTCCCTTGATAGGTAGGCTTTTCGGCACATGTTCATAAAATCGGAGCTGCGCCTTCTTTCTGTTTTCTCAATGTGACTGCTCCTGCAGATACACGGAAATTTGTATACACAATTGCAGTTAACATGAGAAGTGTATCTATCGGCTCTTGACCGCACCAAATAACATGTTGTTCGATGGACGAGAACCAAATAAGCTGCAGGATAGGCTCTGGCTATCTTATCTTATCTTAAAGTAATACTGTCTCAGTGTGTGATATGCCTAATAAACAAACTAATATGGATTTGTATAAGGCATTAAGAAGACAAATTTCGCGAGATGATATCATTTCGTAGTTTCTTTACAACCGCTTTACATGTTGTCCACGGTAGTGGAAGATTGAAGTCTATTGATTTCTGTACACACAGTTTAGGCTGTATGTGATCTATCCAAAGTGCTTCCATCATCTTCAATAATCTTGAATTAGAGTTATGTGAAATAATTACGAAACAGTCATTAACATTGATTGATTTCGTGACCTGACATTAATAAGTGTTTTACAATGGATGATGCTGGATTTCTATTCAGATTATTTGCATTGGGATTTTCAGTATGATTTAATAGCCATTTTGGAACATATTCTGTTGGTTCTACCTATATAGGTGTCACCGAAGATGCGGATGAACTGGTACATACAGTTTGAAGTAGAGTACACAGAATTTTTTTTTGATCGTAGGTACAGGGATAGAAGACGTTCGGCAAGTTTATTAAACTGAGTAATTGTCATGAAGTTTATTTTATTATTTTTAACCATGTTAGTTGTAAAGCGGTTGTAATGAAACTACGAAATGACGATATCATCTCGCGAAGTGTGTCTTCGTAATGCCTTATTCAAATTTATCAAAGTGACTAATTGTTTTAACATGGATTTACCCACCACCATTGTGCCCACGTTTTACACATACATCAAGACAACTCAGTCAGGTAGAAAAAGTCCTTGACGAGATTTCTTCACTAATTGAATTGACATAACTGACAGAACAGTGCCTAACATATTTTCACAACGTGTCCGAAAACATTTGTGTCAGAAGAGGATGGAATATTTGTGGAGGGTGATCACCAAGGAATTTGTGGATGGGTGACACTGACGTAACACCACTATTTTCCTTAAAAATATTAAGTGTATTCTGGTTGTCAGAATTACCACCATTTATGAAAGCAAATTCAATAAACCTTTTTCTAATCATGATCATGCATTGAGAATGAGTCTAAAAGTGGCTAGATGAAATCAGTTTGATTATCGTTCCATCAGTTACATGATAACCCATGGTCAATACCCGAGTCTTCTTTGTTGGATCGCCTCTGGAATAAAGAAAAACCTGATCAAGTCGTCATCTTCTAAAATGACTGGAATTGGCACTCGTGATATAGTCGATGATGAACTGAAGAGACTAGACGAATCCTTCATTTCAAATGGATATATTGCAAACACTCATGATAATAGATCTGTATTCACTACCGAATCGTTCGAAAGGAATTCTGAAAAGTTGATGAGATTCTGAAGAACCATCTATTCAGATCCGTAGAAAGGCATTCTTTCCACCTGAGGTACAAATCAATATCTGCGGTCGCAAAATGACTAGTGGAAATATGAACGGGGAATTGTTGGTCGGTTGCACTCCATTTTGTGTCATTTTATGCACCTTCTACAATGAGGCTCGTTATGTTGCGATAATCGCTGACGATCAAAAAGTGATGCTTTAACAACCAAATGATTTGTCCTGAATCCACCGACACATGCCTCCTAGATGCGCCTCAACTTATCACAATCAAACAAATAAGATGCAAATGAAATATCATTGTCGACAATTGTGGGTTGATTTCAGATAGTTGTTTTCTCTTTTCACAATATCACACTCACTCACTCACACACACACACACAGAGTCTCTCTCTCTCTCTCTGATTGCGAAGTACTTTAAAGCACACTAGATCATTCTTCAGAGAAAGAGAGAGAGAGAGAGAGTAAACAACGCGTGAGTATTCCAACAACAAAATGAAGAAGAAGAAAAGAATTCCACCTGTAACCTTCATGATAACAAAGAGATAATTCCTTCAAGGACGCAAGTATAATGCAGACTAAGCTTCATTTGTCACCAAACATACGATGATGGTGTGATGGTCTGATTATTTTTCACTTTTTTCATTGTGAAGATAAGCCGGTTTCTATAAGACACTGTTGGCAAAGGAACTAAATAATAATTAGAGTGAAATAATAATAATAATAATAATAATAACTAAGTAATTACTTAATTAATTATACTATTATTAGTAGTAGTGACCTCGTAGATATGTTTTGCTTTTACTTTTGTTGAGTGCACTTGTCACTGATATTTCTGCAGGATTGTATTGTCATATAAATCTGAGATAAACAAAGTGCAACGGCTGATAGAGTCTACTTCAGAGATTATTAATTAGCACTAAATATTTCTAGATCCTTTTCCTGATGAGAATGTCGCCTACGCGTTTTTACATCTTTCAGTTTTGTGCAATATCTCATCATTCATATCACCTGTATTTCTCGCTCAATACTCTATATCCCATTTTTAATTGGTCGGCCTTTAATATATAAACTGTAGTTCCGTTTGTCTTCACAACGAAGAGTAGTCAGGAAGATAGATCTGTCGTCCTAGTGAAGCAAGGTACGTTGCTCATATTTTTCTGTGTGTATGTGTGGGTCTGTCTTATCTTTATGCTGCACTCAGTTTTTTCATAAACCTCCCGGTAGGTATCCAGTCTCAGTCACAATTTTATTTCAACACGTTGAAATTCTCTTCACGTACATTCTTATAACACATCTTATGATGTTCCACTATTAAGACTAGTCAAATCAATATTGAAATGATAGTTTAGCTCGACTGATCACTGATGAATACTTATTCATATGGTGTCTGGCGCTTGGCGTTGATTGAAGTCTATGAGTGAAGGTTTTTATGTGATAAATAAGCTAACCATTCCCACTGATGTCGTAATGCATTTAGTAATCATTCATATCTTTCATTCACTACACTGAGTTTCTCTTTATGTATATTTTTATTTCACATTTTGTGACATACTACTAATAACAGTATTCAAAGAATATTTAAGTAGTTGTTTATTCTTATTGCCTGATGAGGAATAATTATTCTTATGTTGTATAGTCTTTAATATTCATTAAAGTTTGTAACATACTCAGGAAGCTTAGAATTCCCACTGTTGTCGTATTGCATTTAGAATTGGTTTCACGCAATTAAACTAATCCACAGTCGAATTGTTTTACATATGAAACACTGTTCGCCTAGTACAAATCACCTGACGCATTTTATCATAACACGAATATGCAGAAATTAGATATTACCTTTGGTAATAAAGATTATGTGAGGAATCGTCACTAGTTAGAGAGAGAGAGAGAGACAGTGGAAGGCAATCAGTAAGGGTCGACACATTCATCATTCAACTTCAGGGTTATCGACTTCATGGATTTTCGTTTTGATGAAGTGTTCCATACTAGGGCGAACCATCTGTCCTGTTCTTACTTCATCATTCATAATTGCCTCAATTGATCCGTTTTACTCTTTTGATATCGTCTTTGTTGATAATGGAAATTCGTTTCTAAAGTTATTCACTCTCAAATATGAATTGACTTTCAACAATGCTTTTGTACAATTTAGAGTCTTTCAAACCATGGGGTGAGTTAGTAATGTTGTGTCACTTTATATTTTACAGTACTTTTGTTGTTGATTTGTGTTCTGGCTGTAACGGATTTCCATAGGCTTTTGAGTTTTGATGTTTCCGTGGTAGTGTTTTTCTCCGTATTCACGTGTTGAGGTTGGTAGCCTGACTTACGCCAAACCATTCCTCTTCGCTCTCAGGGTTTACCACACAAGCCAGTTAGTTATAAGTATAAAACGTGGGCTTTGTGGTAGAGTATAACTCCTTTATGGATAAGATTTCATTTTGATAAATCACACAGTGTTGTACAGAAATAATAACTTATGACGGTTCCAGCACAAACTATTGCTCATTATCATATCAACTTGATATGTGCTTGAAACGTCATCATTTAATATTACTGTACAACACTGTGTGATTTATCAAAATAAAATCTTATCCATAATGAAGTCAGTTAGTAAACTAGACAAGGTTGACGAGTCCATCTGTGGCAGGGCATAGAACGCCGACTTGTCTTGTGGTTAGAAAATACTCTAGCCCTGAACCACTGAAGCTCTATTATACACATCACAGACTGTTTTCTGTTACTTCCGGTCCACTAAGTGTATGCATAGGGACATGTGAAAACAAATATTCTAGCTTAAACATAAGACTGTTGAATCCAATTGCATGCATTCCAACTGTCTACTGAAGTGAGGTAAGGCAAGAGTTCCTTAGTGCTTACCATTTTTGAATGGACATCTGACTGTGACCATTCAGTGGGAGAGGAATCTGTTGATAGAAGCTTTCGCAGGAGTCTGTCGAAAACATTCTCGCTGATATGGGAGCCGAATTTCATTATCGAATGAAAACGAACATGTGTGACTGTGCGCACAAGTCTGAAGTGAATTGATTCACAGATGGACGAGAGATTTGATATCGACTTCTAATTCATTCTAATCGCATTGGAGAATGAGGCAAAACTACCGATGAGCAGAGAGAGTCATTTAGCATAGGCTCGGCCAGGCTAGGCTACCTTCCTTCAATGTCTATTCACATGTGACTCTGAGAATATTAACAATCATCTCAAATGAAATACACATTCACTCCTTACAATACTTGATTTCTTTTATTTCCTCATTCCTTCACAGAATTTTAATTCTGAGTGCGTTGGTCATACTCCAATGTGTAATTATCTCTACTGAAGCTGATAAGACCTTGTTACTGCATGTACGTTGGCTGCCAACTCACTGTTACCACCAAGAGGTATGTGAGATTATTTGACCGAAATTACTTTTAAATCGTTTCACACTTTCAAATTTGATTGAAAATTTCATATTTCAATTGATAAACCTGTGCATTGCAGGTGAAGATTAGAAATGGCTCCACCTACCCAACTTCTTTTGAATCCGGTCACCCAGACAAGGTGGGATACCAGCCAAACTAATAGATCCAGACGGATTACTCCAGTCCTGTTGTGTTTCAAACTTCCTGCCTAAACGATACAATCTCAATCTCATATTAGGACAAAGCCCGGCCATTGTGGTAGAGTATAATTCCACTATGCAGACAATTTACTGGATGATGTCTCACAGTGTTCTATAGTAATATTTACTGATGGAGTTTTGAGCAGAATGTATTTCTTATAGTCGTGTCAGTTGCTCATATCACAATTTCAGTTTAGAATTACCATGTATGTGTAGCCAGGTTAATTGGAATATATGGGAAATTCGGTTTTTGACGTAACTGAAGACGGATTATGTTTTGTTGCTGATGATATTTACTTGTATAGAAGTAGTTTCAAGTGTGGAGACAGAAATTATCATATCATGATGATTTTTCCCCTGAAATTCCGGTAGAAGGTAGAGCTTCAGTAGTAGGCCAAGATTTCGCCCTCTTACTTGCTGCCTCTCCAGGTGTGCTCCATGGCTATCCACAAACTCTCGTTTCCTCCTGACACGATCTGCTGTATGTGACTTTCGTTGCTATGTCCAGATCGATGTTTCTCACAGTGGTTCCATTCGATCACACAACGTGTAATTCACTGCTATCACTCCAGTGTGTTCATTTCGACCACCTCCACACTTGTCAAGTAGATACTCAAGCATCTCACTTCTCATCGAATCATTATCATCACCCTTCCCCGTTGTGCCACTGATTACAACGTGTTTTCGTATCTATGGTAACCACTACTGAGTTACTGCATTAAAATTTGTAATGCCCTGTTTAATACTGAGTGATAGACTACTGAACCGGAACTTAGTTAATGTAGACATGATCGTACACACCGACTTCGAAGATGACTTCGTCGATGGAGAAAGCTGTTTCTTGGTTCAATTGTCTCATACCTTGTTTTTCCCTTCTAGTGCCAAGTGGAAGATGGTCAGAAATGGGATATTTCGAAACTCAGGTAATCATCAAATTATTCAATATGATGATACTATTGTCAATTTTATCTATTCACTTTTTGTTCAATCAATCCACCGACCAATTGACTGATTATTGTTCTCATGGTGACTGAGTATTCACGATTGATAATGTGATATGCTGATCATATCTAAATAAAGTACATGTTCTCTAGGATTCATTTTCCTGGACTTGTCTGTTTTTCTGAAAGGGTAATGAATGCAGTCAGAGACATAGAAAGTCAGCTCTCAAGTGAAGAGTTTTCGCACAGAACATGATTTGTGACGGACTAAGAGCAATATCAGCTGATTGGTCATGATGACAGGGGAAATGGAAATCTACCGATGAATCAGAAGACGAGTAAGCTGCCTACAGATGAGTGAGCTTGCAATCTGATGTAGGCTACTCACGAGAAGTTTGAATAATGAATTTCAGTGTTCCGGTATCAGGGCTAATCAGCTGATTATGGTCTTTATCCACTTTCTCAAAATCAACCGACAGTCGTCATACGACAATCGCAGAAATAGACAAGAGTGAGTACTAGTGATTGATAAGCTTGGTCATCATGTCTTTCTGTCACGATAAACAGGTCGTGCTGAGTCAGCTGGTCAAAGGTGTTATTCATGAACAGATTTGCCACTATTCTCACTACTCACTTTGATTTCCACAGAAGAAGAACCTCGAAATTTGTGCTTTGATGTGGGCTCGTTCGATTCTGTGTTTAGGGTCATTTTGACGGCCGTTCGCATCTTGGGCATATTTAAACCTGAACCCCTTAATGGACCACAGTAATAAGGACATGATGATAGTAATACTACTCCTACTTACAATAATCCTGGTCTTATTCTGGACACAACATTTACACAATACACCGAATTCTCAGCATGATTTACTGCATAATATTTTCTCTCCATCATGAGTCTACACGCACCACAGCAGGCAAAGGTATACCCTTCGATCTGAAGCATGATCCGATCCCTTGTGATATGTCTCCTACATTCTCGAGAAGAGAGCATCACTAGTATGAAAGTCAACGAAAATTATGCCTGATTACACTCCGTGACCGAAATGCATCATCGAATGATTGACACCATGAGAAATAGAGAAAGTGTCAGTCGCTGTAGAGGATGGAAATTCACACATGTGTCTCTCGTTGGCTTAAATACTCACGTTTCAACCAATTATTGTCGACTCCGAATCTCGCCACACCTAATTCAACTAGATAGTGTCATTAGTCTCCTTCACGCAAGTAAGTATCATTTATATCCCAGTAAATGAGAAACCTCTTCTTGGTGATTGAAATCTAACTACTTCCATTTCGACAAATGTTTAAGTCCTTTGCAGCTGTTTGAGAAAACTACAAAACTTCATCTTCCTTTCAGATCGTTGCCTCAATTGGAGTGGCTCAGTGACAGCTGTCCAAATTCGCCCTTTGGATTTTGGAATTATGACTTCGTGAGTTAAATTTTTTCTAATTGGCTAATATTATTCAGGCGACATTTGTAAAAGTGAACGCAGGTAGTTACAGATTCTGTTGAAATGTAGACGGAATTTATATATTTATTTAGTGTGGGTTCGCAGAAATTTCATTGGTCATGGCTTTGATGACGAGTTAGAGAATCATTAGAAGATAACCAGGGAGTATTAGATAGGTGTTTCGTCCTAGTTTGGTGCCGCCTCCCAGGCAGTATGCACACACTGACTGACCAAGGTTCCCATTGACGTCCTGGGACGAAACTACCCTCCAATACTCCATGGTTTTCCGAATGTTCTCCAACTGGTGACAGCCAGTGATCAAACCTGAAATTTGAATGCATTAGAAATCAATATGTCGCCAGGAACTGTTCACTCTCTACAACCGTCGGTGAACTTGATTGCAGTAAAGATCCACATATTCCTTAAGCTTGAAGAAGGCATCAGAAACATTGTACAACGTAGATTGAGTCACTCGGGAATAAGTACTCAATTTGTATGCATATTAATTCGGTCCGTTTTCGCTTCGATCTACCCTTATTTGAAATCTAATGAGAAATGTGCACCTACGAATTCACGAGGGATAGATACAATTGTCTTCGTTTCAAGAGGCCATCCTATCGAACTTTCAACTTCTGGGCATGTGATAGATAAAGCCCTGTCGGTTCGCGATATGGTGTCACTGTAGTTGGTGATTATCTGCCATCATACCCGACTGAGCGGATCCCCAACTTCGGTTGAGACGCAACTGACACCGAAGTCAATTAAATCTCTTCAATATTACACCTTAAATTTCCAAACATCCCATTCCATTCAGTGTGAGCAGCTCAGTAGTAACGCCGCTGACTGAAACCCTGAATGAGCACGACTCGAATTTCCGGAGATACTTCAGTGGAATTCTTTCTAGCCTGTAGATACTCCCCATGAAACAGTGTCGATAGGAATACAATTTAAATACGCAGCTTCACTTCAATTTGCTTTCATCCATCTCACTCGCCTTATATGTTTGTAACCTCAGCTTGTGAGTGATAGAATCTCTTTAACATGGAGGAATGGATGAGATGAGGCTGTTCACCACCACTCATGATCTCCCTAATTGTAGGTGATAGACCGTGGGAGACTGATCTACATGCAGTTGAAACAGCAGTGATGAAAATATCTAACCAACAATACCAATTGCCTATCACCATCGATGGGGAGTATCTAAGGGAAGTCACCACATTCACATACCACAGTAGCAGTGTCGATTCAGCTACAATCAGAACGGTTCATAATGTGAAGGCCAGGATAGGCGAAGTGATGCAAACTTTGATTCCTGTAAAAGCCTGCTGCACTCATCGTCAAGAATATGATCCAGAAAACAATCCGAATATATTCTCATTCGCCTGTACACGAGGGTGACAGATTACAAGCTTCATCCATATGTGAGGAGGAGATCGTGTGAAGAGGAAATGAAACCCTGTGAGTAATCTCGGAGTCATATGGAATAGACTGCAGGACACAATGTGAAGTGTAGCACTTGGTTTCTGAAAGCGTGTGTTTTCTCCGAAACCTGAGAAAATTAAACTACTAGTTATAATAATTGTAATTATAATGCTTATATAATGTGTGAGCAAGTGTAGACAATTTATAGTATTGAATAGAATTTTTGATTTTCCCGTCGATTGATTGGACCGAAGTGCTTGGTCTCAGGTTGACATGTAGGCTTCTTGTGCAGATGCTTCGACGATGTCCGGGCATTTAGTTAGTATACAATAGGTGGATGGTGGCTAGCAGTGGAATCCAGGATGCGCATTTCGTATGGGTACTGGGTTCGAGCCTCGGTGGGAACATCATCACTCACTGAGAAATGCAGGTACATCCAGCTGACGAGTCCCAAATAGGACGAAATGCGTATCCTGGATTCCACTGCTAGCCACCATCCACCAATTGTATACTAATTTATAGTATTATTAAATTATTCTTATTTCATCGGAAATTTTATTCCCCAACTTTATTTAGGACACTATAACTGAATTGTCGAAATATTGGAGCAATCCTTTGGATGAATTCATGCATCAGTAAGTCTGTTAAACAATGTCCAACTGAAATATTTTATTTTCACTCCGTAAACCACTCATAGACGAAATTCGTATACATTTGTGGCAGAAATATTACAACTGATGAAGTCATTGCACAAGAGGTAGCTATCATGCATAATTAGTCTAATGAGCAAGGCTTCGTTGTCACAGCCAATGCAAGACACGTTCAGATGTCATTTGAGTAGAATTATTCATTTGGATATACAAGCATATCACAATGACGAGTTCAGAATGGGACGAAACCTCCACACTGAATAATACTACCAACCAGTATTAAACGAGTTACCATTATTGTTGTTGTTATTATTATATTATCATTTCGAAATTGGCGTCTTCTCTTCATGTCATTTCCTTTTCCTTGTATTGCTTCCAGCGACCATCTGTATAGAGAATATGCAACATGTACCGTTGTCGATAGCGATGGACCATCTCCAAATCTTTATTTCAACCGTGGAATAGACCTCTTCAAACTCGCGTCACCTAGAACGTGAGTTGAATGAAAACAAGTTCGGTCTAATTCTATTTTCAATTACTGATATCCAATTGTGCATGAGGAGGCCTTTTCTAAACACAAATTATTCGATTGAGACATGTGTATATAATCAGGTGTCGCTCTGAAGAGATTTGATCGGTTACAACTTTGATGATGACTTGAGTTGATATCAGTTAGAAAAGAACTGCTAAGCCACCAGGGATCAGTGGAAAGTGGCTTCGTCTCAGTGATTGAGATTCACACTTTGCAAGTTCGCGACAAATACCCTCAATTTACAGAGTATGAGTGCACTTTCTTGTCTTTGTCTCAGTGCTTGGGACCGACTCTTTGACACCACGGACATAGCGTCAGTAGTTCGAAACAAGAGCTCTCCTGTTACGAATAAGGAATACACTATCTTGACTGTAACAGCGTGCATACGACTGCGCTGTCTATCACGCGAATCGGTAGAATTTAGAATTCACGGAATGACCATTGGATAGGGTCCTAGCAGATTAATGGCCTACGACCTCGCCAGAAGGTCCCGTGTTCCATTCGGGTTGGTGAGTGCGTACTGTGAAGAGTCAGTCTCCGACAGTGGAGCGAAACAGCTGTCCAGTACTCCCTCGTGGTCTCCAATGATTCCCTAACTGATGTCGACTGGTCACGAATCTGCCAAATGCGTGTACAAATTATTTTACACAAGGCTGAAGTATATCTGTCAATCGATAAGGAAAAGTATGTCTGAATTTCTGGCTAAATTACGCCCTGCAGTATTCACATTGCAATCATACAAATATGAGATTGATATGTTTGAAGTAATCAGGTTATACTTAATTCATGAAGTCTTTTAAAGGGACAATCTTAGAACTTGAAAGACCGCACTTCTTAACCCACAGTATTCTAAACAGCGTCGACGTTTTATTAAGGTGAATGGTGAATGCTCATGACTGAAAGTAGCCGGCATATCGCTGAGTCATTCAGAAGACTGGATAATGAGTCAACAAGTGTTTAGATGTATTCGTTACATTCTGTTTGAACAGCGTAAAAACATGTTGTCTTCCATCAGTCATATTTAACAGGCAATCCACAGATAACGCACAGACTAGTGACCATGTGAATTGTGACACTCTCAGCCGAATAGTTTAAAGAAAGTGCATACAAACATACTAAATGGATTAAAAGAACTCCAGGAAACGAGAACCAATCTGAACATGAATTCAAGGCATTCAAGTGTGATTTAAACAAATATATTTATCTGTGATTTAGCTTAACATACTTGTTATGTAATAATCAACTTTATAGCATCCAATAATTATACTTCGATTGCATCAATGAAAACATTCATCCTTAACTAAACTAACCAGGCACTGTTTTATTTCCTCTTTATTCAAACAAAATGAATGACAGAATATCGATCAGAGAAGGTGAAACTTACTCAGTAAGATAATTTTAATTTTTTGCAATGAATTTCAAGTATAAAATATGTGTGACATGAAAAGAGTCGAATCAGATGCAGTTGTCTGCTGACAACAGTGAATGAATGACTTGATGGCGTAAACGTCATATCCATAGTCGACAAGATGATTTGTCATTCACCTATTAGGCACTTTGACTTCATCTATTTTCAACCAATCTGGTAAATGTTTCATCATGCGAGTAGAAAATCGCCTTTCCCCAAGACCGATGTATTTGCTTCCACAGTCACACTGAAAATGATATATGCAGCTTGATGTGTCGGTGACTGACAGCTGGCCTTCCTCGAATTGTTGAACAATCCACTAGGTGGTGTTAGGGAGGAAGAGTTCTGCAGCATTCTATGTTCTCCTGATGGCTAAATTAAGTCTACGTTTGACTACCTCTTGCACACTATTTCTTCAACATGGCTAATTGATTTATTTAGATTTCTGCGAAACAGATCGACTGGATAGCTTCACTAAGCGTGTTTTGTTTCTTGAGAGTATTTACCTGTTAACCTGTCAGGATATCCATTCTTAGACAGAACACTCTTTACAGTCTTCATTTAATCTTCAATTATACTGTCAGAACAGATTTGGCCTGCCACCTGCCTGACTAAGTTCTTTCCATATTTAATTACAACAAAACTCAAAATGGATATACTGCCTCATCTATGAAGACGTATGTCTTTCCATTTCGCCAACAATTCTTTTCAACACTAGAGAAACATCTGGGAATTTAATGGCTGTATGTTCGTCATGCTTTATTGGAAAGTCAATATTTGGATGGTATGATTTGATCTCTATCAATAAGTTCTCAATCTCTGACTTGCCGTCACAGACAATAAAATATCATCGACATGTTCCGCTTGTTGTTGTTTATGCTGTTGCAAAGTACTGGCTCGAAGGACTGACATGAATACAACCATGAGAATGGGTTCCAATTGCAATACCATTAACTTCACAGAATACACGCCCATTGAATGCATACTGGATATTTTCAGTACAGCATTTGCATTCCAGTAAGTCAGTCGGTCAGTCAGTGATCGTCTTCCAAACTGATTCGTTCTATTCTGTTCACACTGTTGGACATTGATATCAACTAATTAGTTGATTAAGATGACTGGACAACACGAGGTAGGAGCACACTTCACTCCGACAATCTCATGTGTATCTTTTGTGTACTAGAGTGTGTCTGTGTACTAGCGGTTGAAACCTTAACAGAATATCACGTACGACGTCCACATACTTTCACGAGGATTTTCAATGAATTCTTAATTTCTCGACAGAGTACTAATGATTTTCTCTCTTAAATTATTTGATCTTTTGACCTAATTAGACCAGAGATTTCGAGCATTCGTTGAAGAACAAATATCATGCTCAACCTAAACTCATCTGTGCTGAGAATGATGTAAGTGACAATTGATTTTGTTTTGCAAAAATGCTTTTTTATGTCGTTATGGCAGTTGTCATTGCAAAGGCAACAAACTGATTGTGTCTATGTTGTAAGGAAAGATAATTCTTACACTGATTATGCTATGCATCAGAATTTGTTGTGAACTGTCTGATTCTAATAGAGGATGTGAGTTAGAAATAAAATCATGAGTCGATATCTCAGAGTGGATACTCCGAAAAGGCACGTAACACAATTCGAAGATATTTCCGTAATCAGCGCTGTTGTGTTATCTGGAAAATGATTATGAGATCACAGATGGTTCTAGAAACACAAGTCAGTCGAATATCAAAACTTCCTTATGAGTAGGGTTTATTCGTAATTTTGTCTTTGTTTGCTGTTTGCCTCTAGAGTGGAAGATCACTGCTGTACTGTGTTCACTGCTGTCACTTTCAAGTAGCCCAACAACTGCGCCACAACAGACAGACCTGCCATTTTTTACCACAGGGTGTCATGCCGAAACCATCATCACTTCCACCACTGTATATTCGTTAGGTAATCGGTTGATAGATGGTTCTCTGACAGACTTCGTGTTTGACTGCGTGAACGGTCCAGTTGGAGAATCGGACTTCAGTAAGGAGCCAATGAAGAGGAAAGTTGTAGATGAAAGTGTTCGGCGTAATAATTCCTGTTATTGCTGTCCACAGTAGATCTAGAGTATGCGATGTCATTTTATCACCATTGTATTCCAATATCCTGGAAACGATAACAGACTGTGAATGAAAGTGATGGATGATGTTTGCTGTTGTATGTCAGTAGAATTCCACATCACAACTGCTACTTATATAAACAAATTGACCGTTTATATGGAATCATTTAATTAGGAGACTTCAATTCTCATTTTCTTTTGTTCTCCTTCTCTGTTTGTCCTAGTATAATAAAACTTTCCTCCACGAAATAGTCTTCTGTTTCAATGAGCATTCAACACTTGTCGACTGTCCCGCCGAATATGCAAATGATCTCCAAGAGTATGTACAAAGCATATTTGACCACTCTGAAAGTGAATATAGCGAACAGATTCATCAACAGAAAGTTTGTGGAGATTCATTCATTGTACCAGAATATAAAATGGCTGAAACACCCATAGAAGAACCTGAAGTTGATTATTCAGAAGATACTTCATCCTCTTCATCATCATCATCAAACATATTTTCAGGTTTCTGGAATTGGTTTTGGGGTGTGTAAGACAATCAATCGACTGTGTGAAGGAATGCAGACAAAATATGCACAGACGATTTTGCTTTCAGTAGATTTAGTGATCTCCGCTATTATCAGCACAAAACTTGTCGTGTGAATTCTCCTTTTTAAATTTATATTTATTTTTCAAGTCATAAAAGTTGTTAATATAATGACAGTATTTGTTTTGCTTTGTCTGAATTATGATGCGTAAAGTTTGGTATTACAGTAGACAAAATATTATTATCTTTGACAATTTCAATGAACTTCTACATGGGGATTTCGAAATACGTTGACCTTGAGATGCATAAAATATTCTCTGTGTAAGGTGGATGATTTTGAAATATGACAGGTTACTGAAACAAAATGCTGACTGTCTAGCAGGTCACTGTTCCAATAACATCCAGTTTCTCGAGAACGGATAGACAAACATCATGTTCAAAATGAATTTTGTGAATAGCATAATTTAAATTACCAAGTATGGAAGAATCCATCGCTCTGTCTCTCTCATCTGTGTACGGTGATGCAATTAGTGTAAGTGAAAGGGATATATCCAAGCTAATTTACCGGATTGATAACACGAAAGCGAACTTTTGTGGAAGTGTGATAAGATTTTTGAGCTATAATTGAAGTGAAATCGACAGAACTTGCAACATTATTGATAAGGAGTGGTTTCCGACATCATACTGGAGTTCATTACATGCGAATTCAAATGTAAGAAACTGTTATCGGTTAGTTAACCATGAAAGACTCTAGCAAGTAAAATAGTTAGGCTTCTTGAACGACTTCCAGATCGTTTTCAGTCGGTCTTGTCTACAATTACCACTTACGACTGATGTTCGGCCATCTATTCTACCACACCTCAGCTCTCGCCAATCTACGTGCTGATTTAATGGCTTGGACCACCCAGTCTAATGGCCTGAGTGCTGTTAACACCATCCCAACTAGTGAATGGGGAATATGAGCCTTGCGGTTGCTGGAGGGTGTATTTCTTAACGATGATTTGAACAGCGTACAGAGATACACGCTCACACCACAATGACACCACCCAGCTCTTGCCTCTAGAAAATCAAGTAATCCACACAGATAAACAAATTGATCGTTGAAGTTCTTGATTGATTTGACGAAGTCCATTGTTCCCCTGCAGGACATTGTCCATATACGATGCATATGAGACTTTCTTCTACACGTATACATGTATGTATATACAAATACATAACTTCCACCGATCAGGTTGAATGAATGGCAATAGCAAATCGTGATTGTCTGTGGGCCACAAATGTTTTGTGGATACCCTCGAGGATATTGTCTTGCAGCTACAGTGAATTGAAACCCAGTATTTATTGTGTAGCTGTTGCTAATTCCCCAGAATTATTAGCCAAAACATTCATCACTGAATATTGCATGCTGACCACCACTGTTGAAGTCTGTTTGTTTAGCTGAATGCTTATGATCAATCACCCAAGCCATTTGACGCGCCGCTGTGTTACGTTCGTTCGTGAGTTATTCCCAGCTAGTTAACCAGTCATCTCACCCTTCAATTTAGTCCTTAAATGTAATTCATAATTCGGCCGATACATTCTGCTGTTTCGCTTTATCTTTGATCTATGCGGAAAGAATACTATGGACGTTGTGGGCATCAGATCCTGCATTAGTATACTTCATTCTATCCGTAAATCTCGACACCCACAGTCTCTTAAATTGTTCGACTTGGTAAATGTCGTAAATGAACGAAATATTCCCATATTGAGTCATAAGAAAAAGGCACAAACAGCGAAGAAAATTTTCTTTTCGATGTTTCATTCTCATGAGCTGCTGTACAATCGTAATTATAATTAACACAGAAATCTTCAATCCAATCAGATACTGGTAAACGTTGTCCTTGAAAATTGTACTACATAATGTAAGGTGTGAGAAGGGATGACTAATTGTAAGTTAGAAAGAAGATAGAAGTTGGCATGTCTTAACAAGTGTGAGATGATGACTAATCAATAAGCTCGTGTAGAATGGACAGGAACTAGTGGAAAGGCTCTAAAGTGTCCTTGTATAAAATCTGTATGAAAGAGCAATGTTAATAATAAACAATAATAGAGTGGTGATAAAATATGGATGATGGGAATAATAATGATAATAAACGTATTAATAATACTAACAGTAAACTTACATATTAAAGGAAAGAAGCAAAATTATGGTGAGAACTTTACTCTGACCCTACCATGGCCAGAGTAAAGTTGTAAAGTCGCAAACTTTATAAGTTACATTACTGCATGTAATCGGTGAGGAAGTCATCGATGGCCACGGAGTGCCATGAAACCATCAGTGATTTGAACAAAGACTTATAGGTTATGAGGCGACTTCATTCAACATTCCGTCACCGGGACAAACCAGTATCTTTCTTACCAGTGACTGGCTGCATGATGAAGTTGCTAAAGTTCTGGCAGAGTCATGAATAGGGGTTGCGAATATTTAGTGTGTGAGAATAAATAATCGGTGACATTATTGTCTGATCGTGACGTTGTGCATCACAGATGAAAGAAACAAAATATGTATGAGCACTGGTTTATTTTACATGTGGTTGAATGGCAAATGAACTCATCTTGTAATCTAAAAGTTGTGAGCCTAATTCCAGGTGGGATCATGTTCACAAATTTTGAAGAGTACTGAACATTCAGAATGAAAAGTCTGCTCCAGTAATAAGCAGATTTTAAGTTTCTCTTAATTAAAGGTAATAATATGGATTTTGGTGAGCTACATTTTACTAGCACTTTCTTGACGAAATTAGCCCTCGTCATTCAAAAATTTAGTACTCTTCCGAACCTGTAGCTAGTGGCTAAATTCACAAATAGGAAGACGTTTTGATTAAAGACATGTGCTCTTGTTAACAGTATATTTAAGTGAAATATGAAGATTTAGACTATCGAGGGAAAAACGTTCCAGAACTTATCCAACGAATATTCCGATATAGTTAGGTCAATGATGTGCGTGTGTACAGCTCACCCGAGAAGCGCAAAATGTCGCTGGAGTCAGTCCGTATATCTGCACAACAACACAAAGCCTTGGAGCACTTTAAATTGCGCCAAACTTAAACTGGCACCCGACCTGATTTGAAATTAATCGGACGCTAGCTAACTGACGGTTTAAAATGAGGAAATAATTTCCCAAATTCCCAAAGCATATCAATGGACACATGGTCTGACTTGTGTGTAAAGAATAAAAGAATGATGCCAACTTTAACTAAGAATGTCATAGGAAAGAAATGTATTTCAATGGACTCTTCCTGACACTGTATAATGCAGATGCTCACCGTTGTTCCCTTTCATCCTCTGCAAATGTACATAGAAATGACTCCGACATATACGAATTCCTCATTTCTAGCCCATGTAATTTGTCGTATACTTTGCCTGTATCCGACGTCTTCTAATTCTAATTACAAATGACTATCACAGGAATTTTCGTCGATGGATTCCTTTGACGAGCTTCGTTTCCCTAGAGTACATCCGGAATTTCTTTTATCATCGGGAGATCTCAGAGGTATCATCTAATTATTAATCTCCTTTCGTGTCGATTAACTGTCCTAAAACCACCGAACAACGTCTAACTGACGTGGGATGGGTGTACTACTGACATCTATTTGTGGGCATCTTTGATGTCACTGGATAGTGACATGCAGCCACAGTTCTTCATTCACACTGTCTGCTTCTCAAGTTCCCCACAAAAATGCATTTCCTCATAGACTTTCACTTTCAGTTTGAAAGTGAACATGGTGAATAGGCCTTAGGAATACAAAAGCGTAGATACTGGCACCCACAGGAATCCACCGCGTTCTAATATGTACGCTGACTTTGAATCACTACAAACATATTCTTTGAAATGTTACGCAATTTAGCTAATAGTCTGACAAGGGATGAGAAAGTTTAATTAAGAAAGTTAAGCAAGAGAGACAGAGAGAGACAGTATCACCGAGAAACTACCCAGTAGGTTTCATATCGAGGTCTAATAAAAATTCAGAGGAATACTGGGGTTTTGATTCAGTCATGAAAATATTTATAACACTGAATTTAAAGCCTTGTTTGGAACAACAGACACCTCTGACGCCATTTGGAATTCGGATATTCCGACTTTAACGATAACTTTGCTCCTCTCTAGTGACTGTAAATTAAAACGTTGTGTGGGGAAAATGGGTTTTGAAGGGACGACAGTACATTTCCTGCATTATCACTAACTGTGTCTTGATGCTATCTTTAACTAAATATATTCTTGAAAAAGCGCAATTACAGAACTCCGTCTTCATTACTTCGTGTGATATTAAGTGCAGCTTGATAACCATGTGCTGATTGGCCTTTCTATATGACCGAATCTCAGATGTGGCCAGGTAGGTGGCTCAACAGCAAACATGAAGGTTGTTTCGAGTTGTGATCGACCGTTACATGAGATCAAAGTCATTCAGTTATCCTAGATGACTTCCATCCGAAAGCCTCATTGTCACCAACATAGACGATATCTTTCGAAGTAGCTGTGGAGTTTGGTGTGGGTAATGTTTGGAAAACCTCTTGTGCATCATTCAATGTCAGAGTCTTCAATTTTACTTGTACTTATATAGACCGGCGTTGACGTCACTTGGTGCTTTTCCGTTGAGCTGTTTGTACGCACATTCCTTGAATTTGTAATGAAGCCATACGCGTCAGATAAGTCCTAGATCTTCCTCTTTCATGTGATTGGTAGGCAAGAGGTTATTCGCAGAGAATAGCAGTTAGTGGTGCTAAAAGTTTAACTTTGCCGCCTTTTGTTTTGGAAGTCGCGGAAAAGATATCGTTGCCAAACTTCGTGTTCACTTCTTTTTAATCATGTAAATGCCTTATTTATATTATATTGTATATATTTGTTATTATTAATAGCGAGAGTTAAAGGCACCCCGAAAATATCGCGTCGTGTACCTTGAACGTTTGAATTTTCGTTTTAACTCATTCATTCACTTTGGCGCCATACGACCTAGTGATTTACGGCACGACTTTACGCATGTGGTTCGCTCCCAGTGCTACCATTCAGCGCGTTCTTTAAGCTTACTACCGAGTCGAGGCACCAGGTAAGTTGTACCACATTCTTATTTGTTAAAATTTATATATCATCTGTAAAATGCTACCAGTTTCAAACCTTTTTAACTTTGAGTTCGTCAATC